TCAATGGTGTTTTTTCTTTCAGTTATGTTACTCTTCCTTTCTTCTTGGTACTTACATAATTAATTGATTTTTTCATCCATCTTCTTGATTCTTGCATAAATTGTTGATTTTTTCCTTCATCTGGTTTATGCATTCTAGCACCATTAATCTGAATTCTTTTTCTGTTATGCTGCATGCCTCTGTATCACTTAGCTGCTTTTCTGGGGAGTCCTCCTTTTCTTTCCTTTGGGGGTTTCTTTGTCTACCCATGTTTGATCGTACCGCCATATCTAGATGTTGAGTTGTTCAGTGGCTGCTCCTTGGGTGGCAGTGGCTCCTCGGGCTGCGCTCTTCAGTTGGTAGCAGCTCCTCTGGTGGGTGCTGTTCACAGTTGTGGTCTCCTTATCAATTTTCATGGATAAATCAGAGTTAGCTCAGTTTGAGTCAGTTGCTTGAGTCACTTGAGTCCATGAAAATCTGTCATCCCTCTCATTAAATTCAATAAAAATTAAAAGCAAAAGAAAAAAAATCTATCAGTCCTCTGCTGATCCCTTTAAAATCTGCCTTATGTTTTTTCTTATCTATAAAATGGGAATTACAGTACTTAAGTTCACAGGGATTTTTCCATGGATTCTGTTTAATAAGATAATTTTAATCCAGTCCTACTGGGTTTTGGTCTGGCTCTCATTAAATTGGATTTGAGTATAGCCCAAGTGAATATAATTTAAAAAGTAATTCTGCCTGGGGAAACATGTCACAGGATATACTACACATCTAATATAAATTACTTTTACTTACTTATTTATAAGAAAACATTTTATATGAAGATAAGTTTTCCAAAATCCACTTTTATATCTAAAATTTCTACTCTACATTGAAATTTTTATATAGCTTTAGAATGTGCAGGGTATATAAGAAGATAATCTAGATTAAAAGATGACTTTCTTGAGGTTTTTTTAATAGTGCCATATAAAAATTTCTTTAGTAACCTGAGAAGAAAAGTGTCTAGCCTTGTCTTTTGAATAAATCTAGCATACGTTCTCTCTCATTAAGATGATAAACATGGTACATCTTGTTACCTAGTTTTATATCTTGGGATTTTATAGTAACTTTTAAAAAGAATTTATTTTGGTCTGCTTTCAGACCAGATAGTAAGTCAGATTTGAAAAAAATAATGTTTTTCATAACAATGCTTTTCATGCCTTTGGAATATCTACCTCCACTTAAATAAGTCCGCGTCTCAGAAGAACTTTTTATTTTGTTTCATTGGCCCAGGGTGTGACATAGAGAGGCTTGCTGTTGGTTGAATTGATGCAAGTTGTTTAAAATATGAGGCTACCTATCTATTTTCCTGTGTTTCAGGGATTGGTGGTAATTTGGTGGCCATTCAGGCGAGCAGGATTTCTACGTACCTCCACTTGCATAGCATTCCAGGAGAACTGCCCGATGAACGCAAAGGCTGTTACTACCCGTTTAGAACTTTCTTTGGTTCAGGTATGTGCTTGTGGATTTTTAAATGTTTTATTTCAGGAACTTCTCCTCTCTGTGAGGATAGGCGGGCAACAGTTGTTGAATACGTATTTTGTGAGTATTGCACAACTTTGTTATTTCTGAGTGCTAAACAGATCTTAAATAGAATAGATTTTGTTCATTAAATCCCAGTGAGCAAAAATCATTCCTATCAATTCTGCAGTTGTTGAGGAGCTCTGTGTAATTTTTCTCTCTTGGCCCTTTCTCTGGGATATCTTGTTAATGAGTCGGAAAGAGGAGCCTCATGGATACGGGCAAACAATGCTAGGTGGTTTAGGGAGACGGGTGGGCTCCCTATAACATAGGGAAATTTTCAAAGAAATTTATTTTTAGCAATTGAATTTTATGTGATGCAGTAACTGAAAGGTAATCCCCAAATTTCAATACATTTCTTTTTAGCAGTTGAATTTTATGTGATGCTATGTGGTATCGTAACTAAAAAGTAATCCTCAAATTTCAGTAACTGACCTATTATTAACCAAAATATGATTTTGTTTTAACAACGTTTACATTTTACATTACAGGAGTAAATCATAAGTCTGCTCAAGTTCTGCTGCTTTTAGTAATTCCCGGACATTTAATTTTCCTCTACACGATTCATCTGATGAAAAGTGGTCACACTTCGCTAACTGTAATCTTCGTAGTAGTATTTTTATTTGCTGCTGTGTTACAGGTAAGAGTTAAAACCTCTTGTCACCTCCTTTATGCTCAAATTGATGTAAAAGTATAAATACATGTAAATCTAAAGGCTTGAAATATTTTAACATTTAAAAAATCAACTTACTGCCTTCCTAATGATTTGATCTTCTTAAAACTAGTAATTCAAGACCTGTTTTAATATGATCTGATCAATAGAACCTTTGGATTTCCTGTTTTCTGAATTCCATGTCTTCTTGTTATTTATTCTCTTGTTTTATATGAATACATCTTCTAATAGATTACTGAGGAAGAGTGCATCAGAGTAAATATTTTGAGCCTTTGCATCTTGTAAAATGCCTTTAAAATTTTTTTTCTTTATTGATTTCAGAGAGGAAGGGAGAGAGAGAGGTAGAAACATCAGTGACAAGAGAGTACCAATGGTTGTCTGCCTCCTGCATGCCCCACACTGGGGACCGAGCCTGGAACCCGGGCATATGCCCTGACCGGGAATCAAACCGGGACCTTCTGGTTCATAGGTCGATGCTCCAGCACTGAGCCACTTTTTTTTTTTTCTTCTTTTTTCTTTCTGTACATCAATATGTTGACTGGATATAGAATTCTGTTTCTTTTAGGAAACAGAGAAAGGCATTGCTTCCTTGTCTGTTGATTTCCCCCATTACCGTTGAGAACAGCAGATGCCATTCTCATGGCTGATTTCATTGAACAAATTTACTGTTATCTCCCTGGAAGCTGGCAAGATCTCTTTCTCCCATTTCTCTTAAATTTCCTGTTGATGTGCCCTAGTCTGGGTGTATTTGGACTGTTTTGTTGAGCATAGTCAACCTTTTCAATGTAAAAAAATCACGTTCTTCTGTTGTAGGAAATTTTTTGAATAGCTTCTTTGGTGATTCTCTCTCTCTTTCTGGAATCTTAATTGCTTCCTGGGACTCTTGCATTAAACTTCTTACCTTTTCTTAGACTCTATTTCTTTATCTTTTTTTCCTTTCTATGGGAGATTTCTGTGCTTTCGTGAATCTTTTCACTGCTGTGTTACGGAAGTTACTGGAGAGAGTAGAGGTGAATGCATATGCTCAGCTTGCCATCTTTACTTTACATGGAAGGCTATTACTTTTAAAATTGAAGGAAATTGTCTTTATTTTCAAAATGTGTGATCAATATAATACATGTACAGCATTTTAAGATTAAATAGTACTAAAGGGTTCTACCTTTCAAGCATTTCTCAGGCAGTCAGTTTGAAATATTTTAGCTATTTCTTCTGGTAGTTATCTGTATGTTTTAAAGTAATGTGCCTAAATTTCCAGGTTTTTTATTAATCTCAGAGATGCCCCATCTTTCCCATACAGTTATATTACAAGTTTTTGTTAAATTAGTAGTCAGTGTTCCTATTATTAGGACTACCTAAATATTGTTTACTATAGAGCCAGATAATTTACTGTGATTATATTTTCTTTTGTGTATTTTTATTTTTCTTGGAGTTAATAATTACATATTTTTTTCATTTGTATCCTTTTTTTAAAATAAATTGTTCTTATTTTTTTTCCAACGGTTCCAGCTTTATTTTGGTTTCTTAGTCATGACTTCTTGCTAAGCTTTATAGGATTTGGTACTTCCTACACTGAGAAATCCTAACGCCGTAAAGAATGCATTCAAATAATTCTTTAGAGGGATAACATTTGAATGTGGCCTTTCAGGGATTTGACTACACGAGTGAGGCTAGAGGATAAGTTTGGGGACACTATTCCAGTAGAAAGAAACTGCATGATGCTAATGATGTTAATGAAATTAACTGACATTTACAGTGTTTCCAATATGACCAGTGCTCTTAAGTGCTTTACATATTTTGTTTCAGTTAATTTTCACAAAGATTCTCTGAGATTTCTTCTTTATATGTAAGTCAGTAATTTTCAAAGTGAAGCATATGTGAAATAATGTGCTGTATATGGAAAGAAAAGATTTAAATGTCTATATGTTTTTCCTCATTTGCTTAAAATGCTTGTTTTCTTCTATTTTATGATTACCTTGTAATGAGCATACTATATTTGCACAGTGTTAAGTATGCTCAAACATTTTATGCTGAAAAGGATACGTAATTTAAAACTTTAGAGATTCCTGAGTAAAAGCATATAGAAAAGCACAGAGCTTATGAAAGAAAGAGAAAGTTACTCATACACAGGACCTCAGAGAAGGGAATAGATGAGATAAGGTTAAAAGGATAGATTAGGGACAATGTAGATGGAAAGGCCTTAAATGCCCGGCAAGGGGGACTAGCATCTATTCTTAAGATAACAAGAACCCTTATGACTTAATTGATATTTTAACTTTTCTACAGTTATAGTGCTGGATATTTTATTAGAAGTCACCTGTAAATAATTCATTCACTTATTCATTCAATAAGCCTTCGTTCTAGTAGATGCAGGAATTGGTTTTAAATCCCAGGATGAATAAATTCAGACCCTATCCTCAAGGACTCATAGTCTGGAGGGAAGACCATTACATGAACAAATGAATATAATATCATAATCTCTCTATATAAAAGCCTAATATGCAAAGTGTCCCCTTGGGAGTTCTACCGATTGGGAGTTGGATTGCTTGCTAGGATGTGCGCTGACCACCAGGGGGCGGTGCGGAACAAAGGAAGGCCCCAGCCAGCAGCCGGCAGCCACTAGGGACCCTACCCAAGCACAAATTTTGTGCACTGGGCCTCTAGTATAATATACTAAACTCTGGGGGCAGTTACATATAACTTGCTGTCAGAGCTTGGAAGAAAAAGCAACTAACTACCTGGGGAGTAATATTTTTCCACTGTTCAGTAGGAACAAAGTTATTTCAAATGCCTTTTTACTGCTGGCTACCTTTATTGCTTTATATGATATGGTCATTTATTATAATTTATGTTCTCAGTCCCCTGGTACATATTCAGAGGCTATTCATTGGTCTGTTGATAAACATGCCATTTTTAGAACATGTTTCTATTTATAACTCTACCTCTTTGCCTCATGGATTGATTTGACATTTGTTTCTTGTTCTTATGTGTCTGTCTCACTCATTCTAGAGAAAGGCTCTTTGTTTTACTCATTTTTTACATCTCCAGCATCTAGCCCCATTCCTATTGCTCAGTGAGTGTTCATTAAACTGAATGTATCTTGTCAGCTCTGTCTCTTTCCTCAGTAGGAGGGAAAAAAACTTTCATCTACATTTAGGTCCCAGATATTCCAGAAAAAAAAAATACAAAAACACCACATACACACACACACACACACACACACACACACACACACACACAGAGAGAGGTAAATTTTCTCCTCCTTGCTTTCAGTAAACACCAATTTCCTCTCTTACACTGATATAGGTATTTAAAATAAAAGGCAATGAACATAAAACCTCACAAGTTTTATCAATGTTCAGTCAAAATTGTAAGGGTTTGCTGAAATGTTTAAAGATGAAATGACTTGATATCTAGGGGTATGGATAAAGCAGAATTGGTCATGAGTTGATAATTGATGAAACTGAGTGGTGGTAATGAGCTTGCCATGGGATTTGTATTATTCTGTCTATTTTTTTTTTAAATATATTTTATTGATTTTTTACAGAGAGCAAGGGAGAGGGATAGAGAGTTAGAAACATCAATGAGAGAGAAACATCGATCAGCTGCTCCTTGCACACCCCCCACTGGGGATGTGCCCGCAACCAAGGTACATGCCCTTGACTGGAATCGAACCTAGGACCCTTCAATCCACAGGCTGACGCTCTATCCACTGAGCCAAACCAGTCAGGGCAATTCTGTCTATTTTTGTGTATGTTTGAATTTTTCTATAAAAGGAACTTTAGTATAGGAGCTCTTCAGAGTATATGAGTTTTCTAGTTTTGGTCCTATGGCTAGTTCTTCTGACAAGTGAAAAGTAGAAAGTCCATTTGAGTTTGAAATTGTTTGGGACTTGGAATGGTTTAGTTTGTGTCTTATTTACATAGTAGAGGCCCGGTGCACAAAAATTTGTGCACTCGGGGGGTCCCTCAGCCCGGCCTGTGTCCTCTCGCAGTCTGGGATCCCTCGGGGAATGTCTTCCTGCTAGCTTAGGCCCGCTCCCTGGGGGATCAGGCCTAAGCTGGCAGTCAGACATCCCTCTGGCAGCCCGGGAGCCCTCGGGGGATGTCCACTTGCCAGTGGGGAGCAGGCCTAAGCTGCAGTTGGACATCCTTAGTGCTGCTGAGGGGGCAGGAGAGGCTCCCACCACCACCGCTGTACTGGCAGCCATCAGCCTGGCTTGTGGCTGAAAAGAGCTCCCCCTGTGAGGGGGCACTGACCACCAGGGGGCAGCTCCTGCATTGAGCATCTGCCCCCTGGTGGTCAGTGTGTGTCATAGTGACCAGTCATTCCCAGTGGTTCTGCTATTAGGGTCAATTTGCATATTACCCTTTTATTATATAGGATGGACTCCATTATGTCGCAAATTATGTTGTTCAGGTATTTATTATGGGTCTTGCAATTAAAAGGAACCTAACAAATGTGCCTTTGTTTTGTGATCTTAAGGCCATTGAACCATGGATGTAGATGGAATGGATTGTTGTCTTCCTCATGTTCTTGCCTAGTGCCCAAGAGCAATCTGAGTAGTTGAAATATGTCAAGGCCAGAGTAATGTGTGAACGTCATTCCTGATCAATCACATTACATGTTGAGTTACTTTTTCAATAGTAGGGATGGGTTGGCAACAAACTTCACCATCCTATATTGCCCGTGACACCTTTTGTGTCGTCAGTGAGCATTTACTTAGTATGAAGCTGCTAGCTGTGGTTAAGGGTATAATTATTGACCTTAGAACACAATTTTTCATCTATATCAAATTAGCCCATTGAAGCGACAACTTTGATGTGCTAGAACCAGAGTGTACTTTCTTCTACAAACTCAGGGGCACCTGGGTTCTTTCTATGCAGTGATTTCCTCTGCCTTCACATCTTACTCGTTCAGGTGCTCCACTGACTGCTTAAAACCTGCTAGTTTGTGAAATCAAAAGCATA